TATATATATATATAGTCTAGATTTGATGAACAATCTAAGACCAAATTTTTTTATAAAATTGTATTGATCTGATCAACTTGACAATTCAAACAAAATTAACAATCTAAAATAAATTAATTATATTGGTTTAGATGGACTTGATCACTATTACAAAAAAGATCTTTAATAACATTTAAATAAGGATTTTAACAATATTTTTGTAAGTTGTGCTATTATAAGACAAATACATAACATTTGTAATAAATTTACAAGTGCTATTGTACGACCCTTTTAGACAATACAAACCCTTCGTAGATAGTCCTTTCTGAGATGTCCACCTGCTTTTAGGATCTTCTTAGAAGGTCACCCATCACTAAACTACTCCAAATCAAGCACGCTTAAATGTAAAATTCTTATGAGATAAACTATCGAAAAGAAAATGCATATTGTTAATATAAGTAGTACAAATTAATTCTTTTAAGTCATTTTCAACTATACAAATCTCATACTTGTATAATCTGGATAAATATTTCTAATTAAATTTTTTCTAATATATTTATCTTATTTAATATATTTTTGTATTTGCAAAAATATATTAATATATAACTAATTATATTTATGAAATATTTAATTTATCTATAAATATATTAATAATAATATTAATATTAATATATGGATAACATATGCCTATAACAATAATAATATTTATAAATTTTATTTATTAATTAGTTTTTTTGTTTTACTTCAACTTTGAATCAAACTAATAATTGATTCTATTAATTCTTAGATTTATGTTTTTCAACTCAATGACTTTGATAGTAAAAATAACTTCCTTTTAGATTAATCTATTTTAGCTAGATTTCAGATCGTTTTTTTTTTCTTCTATTGTTGTCTTTTCTTTCGTTTAATTTCATCCATCTTCATCTTATTCAATGTTACCAAGGTTTTAATCTGATTATATTAAATTATGTATTTTTCATTATATTTTGGATAAATAAATTAATGATGAGTATTAAAAAACTAATTAATCATCAAAGAACGTAAAACATTGTTACCTTCTATTAATATAAAATTAAATATTTACATAAAATTGATTATAAAGGGGATAAAAACTTGAAAAACTATAATAACTTATTAATATTAATATTTTAAATAAGTATTTCTTAACTCCTCTTTTAGTTTAAATTCTCTTAAAAAGCTACTATTTTACAGGCATTTATTAATTTTTTCACAAAATTAATCAAAATGGTATCCAACTTGTAGCATTGTACCCTTTTGTTAATTATTGTATTTTTTTAATCAATGATTATGTGTTGTGGTGTTTTGTAGTTGTTGTTAAGAGATTTTGTGAGTAAAAAAACCCTCGAGAAGTTTTAGGTGTTTAGAGTATTTCTCTAGGCAGATGTTCAACTTGATTATGGAGGAAAGTATATAAGATTTCTTTTATGACACAGCTTCATAAGTTAAATTCTTAAGAAATCCTAAAGAGATAAACTAGAGAGAGGAACTCTGAGATTATGAAATCTTCCTTTCTTCTTTATAGACTTCCCAAGCGATTGAGGATCATTGTTGGGTGGTGATTCAACACTCATAGATAAGAATCCAAAGTCGTGGTGTTGTGTAGAGCTTTTTGGAGCTTGGAGGTTGTTCTTCTTCCTCTTCGTCATTCACTTTGATTTTGAGATAAGGGAAGCTAATATTTGATTCTTGTTAGCTTTTGAGTCAAATATTCCTTGAAGTTCAATAAAATTGTTACAATGTTGATGATTGAGAAGTGGTTATGTTGTGTTGGTGTTCTTGGTGAAGAAGGAAAGATTTGATGATCTAGTTGGTGTATTGTTGTTGCATGTCTCCTTTTCTTCAATTTTGGAGTTGTATGTTAATATAGTTAGAATATTTTGAATATTGCATGCATGAATTCTAGTGTGGAATAAGAAGATTTGCAGTTTTTGAGTTGAATATTTGAATTGTTGTTCTTGTTCTTGGAGTATGCATGTTTTTAAGTAGACTTGCTTAGAGTGAGAATTCACTCGCTCAAAGCGAGCAAGTGTGATCAAATCAGAGGTGCTCTCTAACTTGGCTTGTTTAAAGAAAATTTTGAATTGCTCAGAGCAAGCTAATATGGGGTTTTAGGGGTGGTCCCTGAATTCACTCGCTTAAAGCAAATTCTTGAGTGCTCTATGCGAATTTTGCTTGCTTAAAGGGTTGGCTTGCATTAAATGACTAGATTGAGACTCTTAGGGGTGCTCTCCGTCTAAGCTCGCTCAAAACGAGCTATTGGGCACTTTGAGCGAATTCTGGTTGTTTCGAGCTATGGGGGCACTTGAAGCGCTTGT